CGTGACCAAATGTTAGTTAAATAATCTTAGCTTTCAATATCCTTCCAATATTATTCAGTTACGAAGATAACGCCTCTGTTTGGGATGATCAATAGGTGACATTTGCGTCAAACACAGCTCTGGACATTACTTGTAATCCTCTCACGGAAATGGACAACAATATCTGTCTCAATAATTCTGTCTGTGTCTGGCACGAAATTGATTCTAACATCGCTTTATTTCAGTCAGGTCTATTGTTTTCTATATTGGACGAGATGTCCAATGTGGAAACTGGTTAGAGGGAATAAAACTTATTTGTAGGAAAATGTTACCGCAGTGTTTTAAATAAAGACACTAATTTAAATAAAGACTTAATACAATATTTGATTTTTTTTCTTCTAACAGTTTACAATACTTAAGTTTAACCATAGACTAAGCAACGTGTAACTTAACTAAGGTTGCATATGAAAAAATGTGAAATTGTTATTTTGAGTTAATTACGTCGATTCAAAATTGTGGTGCAACTTTTTAAATTCATATAACCCTAGTAGTACTTAAATTCCATAAAACCTTGTTTACATAAATTAAAGCCTAGGGACAGATATGAAATATTCGTCCAATGTACATTATAATCTTGTACGCCTTACCATCACAAACATAAAATCCCATCTAAAATAAAACTCCAATATTATAAAAGGTGCTAAACTGTATTGCATAAATTATTAATTATTAGAACATCTATTTACAACGTAAAAATAATTTTTAAAGACTTGAAACACAATCTAAACATCGTCAATCACTGTCTGAAGTTTAGTCAACATCTTAATTAATACATCTTTCTCGTCCTATTATAACATTTCAAATTATGTAATTGTTTAAGAGAAATTATAAGTTTTTCTTGTTCATACAGTGACTACATATGAAACATATTGTTGTCATACATGTGATACAAAAATAATAACTTTTCTTACTGCGGTGGAATTCCTTTGAATTTAAAAGGGTTGTAGTAAAAACCTCGGAAGTTAAAGAAAATTGTAAAACAACTGGAGAAACCGCACCGTATTCGTAAACATTTGACAGCTGCATTAAAAGTAGATGTTTTACAAGAAACTACATTGCAACTGATTAATGTGTAACATTATTTCCGTCAAGTAAAAACAAAACTATAAAATATAGTTTACATACTAATAACATACTAACATATGTTATTATTACTAACATACTAATAACATACTAAAACATAGTTTATACTCTACGGTGAAGATAACAATATTTATTATGTATCTTAACTCAATGCTTACTATGAAATAAAGATGATGATTCTTCTAACCCTTCACTACAGTGAAACCTTTGGATAAAGTGAAATTAAATAGGTGTAATCATGTATTCTATATAAATTAACCATTTACTGTAAAAACCTCTAACAAAATATATGGATGACTTGAAATTTTTCATAAGCATTTGCACATTTCTATGAGAATTACGTGCGAGCAAAATAAAACTAAACTGTAAGAAAAGTGTTCTTTTATTGGTTTTCAGTAAACAAAGTTTCGGGTGGTCAATACGATGGTATATTATACTAGTTAAATTATCTATTTTTATTTTCAATATAATCTTTACGTAAGAAAGCATAGTTAATTCTTTTATAGATTTAGCAACATGTCTTGGGGGTTTAAGCTTTAGTTGAAGTTTACAATACTATAAATTACAATTTATATTATATTTATTTCTTTATTATTTATATCCTAAGAACACTCACTGTTGGTTACAGAACAACCCAGCTTATATTGCAGTGTAACACATGGTTGGGAAAGCACTGCAGGTAATTCATCATGGCAAATACTTAGTTCCCGCGCTCCTTGCCATCTCCAAAGCCAAGTACTTCTGCAGTGTTATACGTTACTGTTGTAATTAAACTTTTATTTGTTTTGATGTTTTTACTTACACGTTAGGCGAGTGAACAAATGTATTCAGATGCAGAACATTACTTTAGTTTGAGATAATTTCCCATAAAGGGAACCGCTATTACCCCCTCCCCCTAGGACTGATTTACTCTTTCGTTTTGAGGTCCCCAGAGGCCAAAAACGTTTGAATTCGTTTAAATATATATTTGAATTATTGTCCAATGTACTAAATTATTTAGCGTCCACTGAATGGTTACGGAAAAAATCCAATAAACTTCCTTTTTTACTTTGGATCAGGGTAAATACCCGTTAAAATATCAACAACAACAAAACTGTTGAAGCTAAAAAAGTCACGATTGTTGAAAGCAATCACTTGACTATGTTTTAATTTACTAAAACTTGGTACAGAATCTCGGCTTGTCCAGAATTCAACAAGACATCAATTAAAATCAGATACTTTATCAGGTTATAATCTAGGATACTACTTGGATGATGACTACAGAATGAGGTAAGTTAGCAAATTTGAATCTTCTTAATTTATAGAGTAGAATTAAGGAGAAAACCCAAAAATATTCTTCACATTTTTCATGTACCCATTCCATGTTTTTGTTAATGTCCCCATGTGTTACGCACTTCCCTAAAAGTTTCAAAAGACGAAACGGATATAAACATGTAGGAAGACGCAGGAAGACATTTTCCACGAGATATGGCAGTTGTAAAGGCGCTCAGGGACCCATTTTGGCGGTAATGTTGGTGTAGTGGCTGTAAGGGGGGGGGAGGGAGGGGGTTCCTTACACTTTCCACCCTGACCACTAGTTTTATTTTTCAATTTTGGCATCAATGAAGAGCCCGAATGCTTTAAAATAGTGTTTGTATCGTTATAAGGCATTACGGTTTATACTTACCTTTTCAATTAGATTCATTTAATATTTTACTGTCAAATTTTTTCCCCTAAAGACAAGTAATGGCTATCATTTGTATTGAAACCTTTTTATATCGATATCAGGAAGTATACCATACATAGACCTAATCATACTAGGTGTACAATGCAGTTGTCTGCTTGCATTATTGAGCGGAGAAAGCATATTAAATACGTGGAAAACGTGCATTAATACTTAAGGCTATTTAGTCAACGATTCAGACCCCACTGATAGTTTGTAAATACTTCACATAATGCTTTCACTACGGTATTGCATATCAGGGGGCGTACCAGTTTTTTTTTTGTTAGCATGTTAGTAGTTGCACATAGTCGTTATTATTTTACACTTGAGTGTTTATGGAAAACTGCTGCACTGAGGAAAGATTATGACATACTAATAAAAGGTAAATATTCAAATTATGTTATAACCCGGCTTAGCATAAAAAATATTTTAAAATTGTGTGTGAAATGCCAGGTAAAATTGTCTCCTATTATTGGGAGTGAAATAACTAATATCTTTGACTATCAATACAACATTATCCAATAGTCAATGCTAATATGTAATACAAAACATAATTAAATACATGGTTTTTAAATAACTTTTGTATTTAATTAACTGGGAATCGTCGACATGTTGAGTATAAATATCAAATTCTATGTACAAAAGTATCTCAACTAATGTATCACATTTTTGATACTACTTACTACTTTAATTAATACTTAGTTTGCTTAACAACCATAAAACATTACGTTACATCAGTGAATGTCAATTCAACAATAATCGTTGTATGTATAAAACACTATATTTGTGATATTAAATTTTTTAACCATTATGAAATCGAAATGTAATGTAATATTTTAATTGATTCAGCCATTATAAATGTTTCACGTACGAGATGACTTGAGGGAAATATGAACGCCGAGGTTCTTGTAAGTTCCAATGTCACGTCGGTACTTAAGTAAATTGAAATACCAAGAATTCTTTTCTCAAAACGCTCTAAGATTTTCTCTTTAAATTCCTCTCTAGATTCGTCAAAATATTTTGTTAGGGGTTGTCAAAGTTTTGCCAAATCGATCTCAATTTATAGACTCAATGGACATAATGGACATTGAACAGTTTTGGAAAATCACTATATAAATTTCAGTTTTCTTTGTGGCAAGTTATTTAATTCAATAACATATTATCTATATAACTATATGATATGATTGTGTAACTTTTGTACAACCTTCTAAATTTTAATTACGTCAACTAGTAAATATTAATTATTTTTTTTATTCTACTCCATTACGGTAATTTTTAAAAGGGAATATTCGTTTGGTGAGACGTTTGAAAGTAATACGACGTTTTATGATCTGAGAAATATTATAATTAACGTTGCGATTATCTTGATCATGGTCTAGACTTAATCGTAATGAACATCAAGTTGTTTGAAATATAAAACTGGGGATCTAACTGAATGGATTTGAACTCAGATATTGCATCATAATCTCTCATATTCAATTATAATTTTATTCCTAAGCAATAATCATCACTTAAAGTTATTCTGTAGTTTAAATATTTGTCTTTTAGAACTGAGTTATTGTTTTTAATGTGAGTCATTACAAAATAAGTAATGATTTAGTAGTATTTGTAATAGTAATATTAATAATAAAGATATTTTTCAATAAAGATCTAGATTATTATCTAGACAAAAATGTATTACTGTACATTTAGCAATGCCAGCACATACACCCCTTTGTTGAAGTTTAGAAATATCCCTCTTAGTAAAATGTAAGTAATAATTAAATAACCATACTCTTTTACGCAAAAGAAGCCTATAAAACGAAGTAAAAATTTAAATATTTTTAAACTAAGAATAACGAGAGTTTGTCCAAACCTGTTACTGATATCATAGACAATATAGACCGTCAGCTGTGCTGCGGTAATTACAGGTTCTGGCGCACACCGCTGGGAGCGTCATGTAGTTACGGCGTATAGCCGACAGTCCAAATTTAATTCTCTTTGTCTATGCTGATACTTAAAATCCATTCCGATCTTATCTATTTTCTTATAAAGAACACTAAAATTAATTCCTTTACAGGTTCAGTTTAATCTTATTGGTAGTCAAATTAGTGTAAAACCAATTCACGGCTTTTATACTAACGTGAAAGAACAATACAACCATCTGAATAATCTTTAATTGACCTATATCCTCTGAACTGTGTTTGCATCGATGTTACTTTGAAAGCTTCTCTTTTAAAACTCCGAGGTCTAAATTCTTGCTAGAGGCCACATCAACCAACAGTTTAAAGAACTCGGAGAAGTCTATGTTAGTTTTACCCAGCTTCTGGAAGGCAGAAGCAAAGTCCTCTTTGGTGATGCTTTGTCCATCAATAACCTAAAGACATTGTATTTCAAATGAAAAGTTGTGTAGATACAAAATCCGTAATGGTAAAATCGAACAGCAAATCTGTTTTTTTTATTTTTTATTAATAATTAGTTGATTAGAGTTGCGAGCAAAAGTAAAAAAAAAAACCAAGAAAAGGGTTCGATCTTAGAATTCCTCATATTTTCTGCATTTTGTTAATAGAAAATCAAAGACCAGTGAAATAAAAATAGGTACGTAACATTACACACTCTTAAATACATTTGCCTATGTTGTAGCTCTGTTTATTTCATAAATATAACAGAGCCTAAAAATATTAGACACTTTGCAGTGCAATATTAGTACTACCTTTGCCTTAGTCAGCCAGTCTACCACTGCCTGTTGTGTCATGGTACGGCCGTCCCCAGTAGCCTTCCTAGCGGCCTCTGTGAACGTGTTTCTCAAGTTCGCCACAGTCAAGGACTCTCTGACCATCTTGTTTACGTTGTTCATCTTGTAGGCTTGAATACTGAGAATTTACAGGCAACGCTACAAAGAGCGAAAACGTTCCTATTAAACGTTTCCGTAGAAACAATCATTCAGCTGCGATAGACGTGGCTCTGCGTTACATAGTCGTAGGCTAAGTTGGTTTAAAAAATTATGTAAGTGAACAAAATGGAAGAAAATCAGTGCTCTCAAGTTTACTCTCAAGTTAATTGCTGTTATCATAATATTTTAGTCTAAAGTTTATTTTATTGCTTTAATAATCGTAATTTGGGTATTTTTCCTTTGATTGTGTATTCTGAAAGTAATCTACTTTCCAGTTATCTAGCTGTATACTTTTAGTAAATGATGGTATATAATTACGTTTTGATAGTAACATCACTTACATAATTTTTAAACATACTTCAGATTTTGAAAGAAAGTAGTTTTTTTCGGTTAAAGTAAACAGTAAGAGTTGTTTCAGTTCCGAGTCAAGTTGATGGGCTAATCATTCAAATGAGAGAATGAATTTCGTCGATGATTGCTTTTTTGAGAAGTACATATTAACCCCACTTAATTGTATAGTTTGATATTTACATTTATCATTTCATAGATACGAACATTGCTAATACTTATAAACATGCTTAACGATTGTTTATAGTGAATAACGACAGAAATTAGACGAGTAGAGAATAATGAAGAGATTTCAATTAATCTCAATTATTATTTACACATGTATACAACCTCAATCAATTATTTTGTTCTATGAGATTACGGTCATGGTATGGCGAAAATCTTCCAAATAAAGAAAGGCTATTTTACTTCAAATTTATTACTTTTAGATAAATATAATTAGAAAACGTGTTTCGTGTTGTTTAGTTATAAAGGAACTTGAAAATGAACTTGCTCAGTTTAAAACATTTTGAATATTTTTAGTAATAAAAATGTTATTTTAAAAAGCCTGTCAACATTTTAAAACCATTAAAAGAGAAAACTAAATACACCCGTTGCAGAACACTTTATTACTAAGTTAATCTTCGGTTGAGTTTTAACATAAATAGCCTCCTACTACTCTCAATGAAAATGATAATGTTTCTCGGAGATTAAATTAGTTAAACATTACAGATAAACTAGGTAATCCACACACCTCTTTCATTAAAAAAAATATCAATTTCGTACATTAATGCTTAATTAAACTTGGATAATAATATTGGCTATCGAGTATTGCAAAATAAATCTTGTACTGGAAGATAAATTATTGTAAAGTAGAATAATTCAAGCTAGATCCTGATGGCAATAAAGGCAGACGGGCTTGCATGGAATCTGCATCGATTTGACATTATTGGTCCATGTACTTTATTGTACTTTGCTTCCTCTTACTTCAACCAAATACAGACTGAAACCAAATACAGAATGTAACTATATTATAAATCTTAATATTCGATCAAATATTTTATTTTAACTTAAAAAAAATTGTATAAAAGAAAACCCGTGGTCAGTGATTCTTATGTGTTTATGGTTTAGTAAAGGTCTCATTTAATACTTACAGTACTTGGTGTGACTTTCTACTGTTACTGTCATACCTAAAAATAGAAATAGATCATCTTATAACCTCGATTGTTACCAAAATAAATTAGTGTATTCGTATAGTAAGTAAATTAAGGTTGAATATTCGAAGACCTCACTGAAAAATCCGCCATTAAGAATTGGAAGGATACCCATACGACATTGATGATGTTAGAAATAAATACATTAAAAATTATAATGTATATTTAAATTATAGTCCAATAACCACTAATGGCTGTTAAATATAAATTAAATTATAAGATTTTATTTCGTTTGGGTAATTTATAAAAAGAACAAGAACGGTGACCAATTATGCTGGACTGATAATTTTTATTTACACATTTTTGAAGATAAATCGTAAATCTTTGAGAAGAAACAATCTTCCAACTTTCATAGTTTTAAGTGAAGTCAAACAATAGTTTTTAATACTAATATCATATCCCATCATACCAAACTTGGCATTTTCCTACTTCTTTTAAGCTTAAGATCTTATTTTTATTAAAAATCTTAGTAGTGTAATATGAAAAATTAATTAGTATTGTTTTAACTGAAAAATCAATTAAAACAAAGAAGATTTATTCACTTAATGGATTACCACATTAAAATTTGTAAGTTGAAATGTGAATTTGATTTAAAAAATTTTAATCTTAGGGATTTTAACAAAACATTCGTAGAAGAAGTTAGATTCTAATATATTGAGTTTAACATTTGTGTAGTAACAATAGTGAGCGGGTATGTGGTAGAATGTGTGCTGGGCTTGCCACAACCGTTAAACTTAGGCTGCGTGGTGAGCAAACTATTATATGGGATTTAAATGTTTGCAATTATACTGATTATTAAACTTAAGACTTTTATTAAAATACCATAACTACACAAATCCATCACAAAATAAAATACGGGTAGATTACAGGAAAAAATCTTTGTGATAAAAATTAAAATCATTTTTATTAAATACAATATTTAAATTAATTATGTAATTGTGACTATGGATTTACTAAAAATATAAAACAACGATTTTAAATTTAACAATGGACTATAATGTTAAATTTAAGCTGTTAATGAATGTTTTACCTATATTATATCAAAATAAGTTAAACATTATTGTTGTACGTTCAAATATAGTTTTGTGGTATACATGGTACATAATAAATATAATAACTAAGTTAAATAGTGTTTTATGTACAACACAATAATTATGTTTGACGAGTTTTTTATGGTTAAATTAATTGGCTGTTGTATTACAAGTTATACTAAAAAATATTAAAAATTAAATTTGGCTATACGGAAACTCAAATCAAAATAACAGTATTGTGTTTAACTGGTGTTATACTTTCAGTTTATAGTAAATGTATTATAAATTATATTAACATTTTTAGGCAATTGTATCTCTATACATAAAATTTAAATTAGTCTCAATCAATTTTAACATCAGCAAATAAGTTCAACACACCGTTAAACCTAGGTGAAGCTTGTGACAGTGATTAGTACTCGATAATCGTGACATCAACCGATTAAGGACATTGCAGGATTATTCTGCTAATTTACTGGCTTAATAGAGCCGAGTGAGCTTAAAAAGGTTTGTTTCAAACAATCATCCGTTCTGTAGTTCATATTTGAAGTAAATAAACTATATCGAAATCCCAAAGGTGTTACAATGTCAATTAGGTGCTTGTGTGTGACTAAATATTAACTGTACAACATAGAGAGTTTTCAGGGGTTGAAACTGACCCTGGTACAATGTATTGTAAAGCAACAATGTATTTTGTATTGCATTAAACAATAGTCACTAACAGCCTGTCGAGTGCTCAAATCGACTGGAGTTATTGATGTGAGCTGCAAGTACTTGAGTTGCACAAAAGCCGAGTGAAGTCAACGATCACAAACCCTTGGAAGTAGCCAATATAATGTTCAAAGTAAGGCAAAGTAAATGCGTTTTTTCTCAATGTTATTGATTAAAAACTAGTTACATTAACCAAGTAAAATGAAATAACTCAAGTGTAAAACATGATAATTTGAATGCAGCTTTTAGTAATTAACATGCGTATGTAAATCTTTACATATTGACTTTGGAAATCAGGTATTTACACTCTGTAGAAGCCGCATAATTATGATGTAGTAATAATGAAAAGACTTATAACACGCATTATGAGAAGTATTAACATATAACTTTACTAATCCAAACCACATTAGAGGTTGTCCAGTGGTCGAAAACTCGACCAAAATATGTAATGTATATACTACTCTACTTTCACCCCACGCTGTAAATAAAACATGTAATTCGGAATTTCTTCAATTTTTTTAGATTTTCTGTTTATATTTCGTCGTTACTTCGTCACCCAACATGGTAACCTATTAGGCCCATGTTAATAAAATTTGTTTGTGCTTACTTTTGGGCCTATTTTAATTTATAAATGGATTTTGCACATCAACAGAAAAAATATCTTTCTAAAAGTATGCGTAGATTTTTCCTGCGATGCACACGAGCTGAGAGAAAAGGTTTTCAAGAAACATGATTGTCTGTTATTATCTAAAATTAGTATCACCTACATATATTTTTATATTACATTTGAAGTTTAAGTCTAATATTTGATCTAATATTATGACTTATAATATAGTTTCAGTCTGTATTTTGTTTGAGTATTGAAGTAAGATGAAGCAAAGTACAATAAAGTACAAGAAGCAATAATGTCAAATCGATGCAGATTCCATGCAAGCCCGTCTGCCGTTATTGCCATCAGGATCTAGCTTGAATGATTCTACTTTACTATCATTTATCTTACAGTAAAGGATTTATTATGCAATACTTGATACTCGATACTCTAATCCAAGTTAAATTGAATATTAATTGATTTTTACCATTTTACTAAATTGGACAATATTTAAACTCAAATAGTGATGTAGATTACCTGGTTTATCTAGAATGTTTCTATTTTTATTGCCGCAAAACATTTTCGTTGAGAGTACTGGTATGCTATTCACGTTAGCCGACGTTTTTTCATGTATTTAAAAAATAAATTATTTTAAATGCAACTGAAGATATACATAGAATTTTGGTTACCTGTAACGGGTATATTTTGTTACCCTTGCAATAAATCTACAATGTTATCAAATGGTTTTAAAGTAAAATTTGTATGTTAAACAATTAAAAAATTTCAAATCAATTGGAGAAAACGTCCTTACATATTTTTACCTCTTGGTTGGACAGGCAAATAAAGATTATTTCTAAGTATATTTATCTATTATTAATGAATTTTTAACAAATGCCCATACCATGGAATATTTTCGTCCATATGAAAAGAGGTATTGCTTATAGAACACTTGTAAAATATTTGCATTATTCTCTGCCCATCAACATTCTGCCGTTATTCACTATAAACCATCGTTAAACATGTTTATAAGTATTTACAGCTATTTATGTAATATGTATTATGTAATATGCTATCTTTGAAATAATACATTTAAATATCAAACTAGACTGAGGTTAATTCCTCCTTCTCGGAAAGGCAATCGACGACG